TTTTTTGGCACAATGTGTAGTTTTCGGGATTTTTTTTTATGCAACGTTAGGTTCCGAAAAGGATGTGACGGTCACGAAATGTTCAAAAATGAACGAGTTGTTTTAAAGAGCCGACAATAAACAAATAATTATTATTATTTCTGAAGTAACAACTTCAATGAATTGCTAAGATACTAAAGTAATAGTGTAGCCAGATGAAACATTATACAATAGACCCAGAAGTCCTACAGCACACTTCTAACAGCTGCAATTTGTGACTTCGTATTAAAGTAATACATGTGTGCCAAGAACAAATTGCCCTCTGTCATACTTACCCTGGGCTTGAACTTTCAGCTCCAGTGATGTAACGGTAAGAACAAGGCAGATCCATATGAGATTCTCCATTTCACATCAATTCTGTCCAGACGCATTAAACCGATGCCAGATTCTGATAGTGCCAACAGTGCTGAAGCACGTGACTTGAACTCGGGGCAACGCACACGCGTGACTTGAACTCAGAGTTAAGAACACGCGTGACTTGAACTCAAAGCTATGAATTGTCAAGAAGAAATCTACATGCTCCTGGTATTAGTATCAGCGGTTGACTCTGCTACACCAGTAAGGCCTGCATACTGTCAGGAACCACAGTATAGAAGAAAGTGTAATTATTACTTTTAAAACTTACGTAAATGTCAGACTGTCAGAAAATATCTCTGAATTCGTCCCTGTCATGATGTATTAACTCAATCGGAGGAAGCCATTGTTTCATAAAATTCATACATAGGAAGCCATGTTGTATAGTATCTCAAGATAATACTTCACACCTTGCAGTTCAAATTTTAATGTCCTTTGTTTCGAAGCCAGTAATCTGTTGGAGCTTGATTACAGGGAATTATTAACGGTCCTCTCCATGAGGGGGTGGACTTGTGTATGAAGTAACCAATCAGTTTTTAAGTTATGTGATGGACAGTTTAGTAGATAAAGTTTAGTATAAAAAAATCCGTACACTTAAATCTAGAGAGGGATGAATATGCAGGAAGAAGAGTAATATGAGATGTGAGACTGGATAGGAGAGAGCAATATGTATAGAGAGAGGAGGAGAGAGAGGCCATACTTGTATCATGTAACTTTTAGTGTAGCAAAGTATATTCTGTTGAAGTTACAGCATGGAGTCGTTTCATTCTTTTCCGTGTGCAGAATTTAAGGCAAGGAACCTGGGAATCTCTGTAGCAGTATATATATTGCAGATAGCGTTATCCAAAGATGTGAGCCCACTGAGCCCAATCCCTAGGGTTTTATCATAATATGGTAAATTTATGTAACGTGGGGCCCGGGATGGTCTCAAGGTGGGTCCCCACAATGGGTTTTCCGTCACCCCAACATGTGGAAGCGTTTGCTGGTTAGGCTTATAAATCAAATCGGATCGCCCTTAATTTTTTTTATCTTCCATAGTCCCCATCTTCCATGTATGTTTGTTCATTTCATCTCTGTATTCATTTATTTATTATCTTTTGATTTATTTTGCTGACAATACTAATGAAACACACTTACAACACAAGCAAGTACTGTAAACTCAGGCCTGCTTATTACAAAACGTATCAAAAGTATAAACTCACTGAATTTTCAGGCTTTTAAGCTTTTGAATTAAGGAACCTATGCTTATACTGAGAAACATAAAAGCGATGTTATATGAATTTTTTATTGATTAAAAAAAATTAAAACTGAATCTTGAACAACTGCATCTAACACGCAGCTCTTCTGATTTTCCGTGTCATGTACTACTTTTGTGGTCGTGATAGATTTTCATACAAGTATTATCTATTACTGCTGTCGGTGTTTTTTTTTTTAATACCGAGTTGCTACATTAACACACAATACCTATGGGACATGTCGTTGCAATGGCGGTTAAATAAATGACGAGGTGAATGCGTTTTAATATACAGGCACTGTGTGTGTCTTTATACGTATTTTGATCGATGTGTCTGTCCGTACCGTCGTCGGTGCCCTCTGTTATTTACCTTAAAACTGCCAAAACATATTTGTGCTTTATTTTAGATAAAAAAAATAGTATGATCGTTTTTTTTTCTTGTAAAGTAAGTGATTCCTTTCCTTTTCTTGAGTTTAATTTATGTCAAAGGTCGCCCTATAACCAACCTGTATTTTTATTTTAATTAAAAAAATTGCTATGTGCCATTGTTTCGTAACAGGTATAAGTCCCTTTCGAAAATCAGCATGGCCGGATTATTCTTTCAAAGAAGTTGTTTTTTTCCATATAATTTGGTGACGTCCTCTTCGTTTGAATGCCAATCCTTATTTCAGTTTGAGCTAAATTTTGCTGAGTAGCTTTGTACGCCATTCGGCTTATTTTTAAAGCAATGGGAATAATTTTTTAAAGTAATTTGCGAGCTTTGTTACGAGTAGTTAAAGAAATGCGATTTTTTTTTTTTTTTTTTTTTTTTTTTGAGTACGTTCCCTTTTTCTTTGTTATCCTGTTGAAATTTTTAGTTCAAGGATATGAAAGAAATAAATCTAAGCGCTTTTATCTTGAAATAAATATTTGGATCTAGAAGCGACATTTGTAAGTTGTCCAAACAACAATTTAAAATTGAAATATGTTCATTTTTCGTCCTTCCATTTTGTTTTCAAATCAGTTTTGTGCTATTCACCAAAGCAACTCCACTCCTGTGCAGGCATAATCTCTGCTTCTGATTAACAAAATTATTACCCAAAGCAGATGTTCCCAAATCCAGTCACAAACTATCACCGTTCACGCGTAAATATGCGAAACTTTAAATGTAACCCGCGCGTATTTGGTTATTTGCTTTCTACTTTCTGGAGAACATCGCCATGAAGATGTTTGCGGTGCTTTGTCTGTTAGGCTTTCTCTTTGGTGAAACAGTATCAAAAACAGGTTGGTAAATTTTTCATAATACAAGTCTTGGTGAATGAGAAGTATTTCATAGACTACATGTATGTGCAGTTTATTGCTGGTAGGTTCACAACCTATCGGGATATACATTAAAAAAATATATTTTTTTTAATGTTTTCGGTGCTGTCTGGAAATGTTCAATTTACGCTTGCAGCAAATAATAATAATGAAATTACTAAAAAATAAATAAAAATAAAAGAAGTAATAATAATAATAATAGTACGGTTTACAATATAAGTATTTACTACTAAAAATTGCTGATGCTCTGTTAATTTTGCTACTCAACAGAATCCTACGGCACATAACGATACCCTCTTTGGATGTAATTTGAAATTTTGTTAAAATTTATGATTGCAGGAAATGTAGACAGTGGCGTCGCCTTTTCCGTGGCTAAAAGCGAAACCTTCCGTTCACGGGAAGGGGGACCCATGATGTACGACAGAGTAATTCTAAACATTGGCGGCGGATTTGACGCATCCACTGGCAAGTTTGTTGCCCCTGTAAGCGGCTTGTATCACTTCGACTTTCACTTCTTGACAATGAGCGGCAACCACGGGTGGCAGGTTCTTAACCACAATGACGAGTACGTAATCTCGGCCTATACCGGTTATGGTTGGACCACTGGCAGCAATAGTGTTAACTTACGGCTAGAGCGAGACGACAGAGTTTCTATCTCTTATAAAGTGATTCAGAATCACCAAGCAGGATTCTATGGGAGTGTAAGCGATATGTACGCCTCCTTCAGCGGCTTTTTGATTAACTAAAACGTGGCGTTCACATTAATAGGACATGGGTTGTGAGATTGTAGAGAAGTCGCTTCAAACCGCCCGCAGAAAACACCGAAATATCCTGAAGTTAAAAATATGAGCCAAAGAATTGTGAAATCACGGTTTAGCCATTTCTCACTGACTTAAAAACGTGGCAGTTGTAGCCTATGTTCCAATGTGACAGTTATTGGCTTTAGGCCTACTCAGTTTACTGAATGCCGGAATAAAAAGACAAATACTCGTTTGTAACAATGTTTTCCAATAGGTTGTAATTATAAGGTTTAGCAATATATCCCATTTATAATTAAAATATTCAAAGAAATACTGGACTTCGCTATTTTTCACAATATACATTTCTTGTATGTTAGCATGCATTGAATGGACAGTATAAGAAAGCCTGGAATTGATATTTTTATGTACTTAAACAACTTCAAAAATAACCGTTTGGTCAGCTTCTGAATCAGTCTTTATTGTCAAAGATAATTATTTCTCCAGTTTTCTGATTTCATACAAATTATAACAAGCAACATTCAACAACGCTACCTGTATGCTAGCTCCTAAGACCTGCATAGCAATGGTACCTTTTGAAGGCTTTACCAGGATATGGAAATTACACACTATATTATTTGATTTCATGAGAGATATCAGGTTTGAATTATTGAGAAATGATTTTCAAATGAAAGTGGTGGAAAATAATTTGATTTACCAATGTATCTTCTAAAATCTCTACAAAATCCTGACATTTAATGCATTACACAGATCACAGAAAATAAACTCAACATTCGAACAAAAGCCTTAATTTTGTGTATGCATATGTTGTACTTGAACTACATTTTTTTAACATCTAGTTTTGAACCAAAGTCAGAAAAAAAATCACCTGACATTTGGCCATCTTCACTCTTCAACAATGTTTAACAAAGATATTATAAATTTGATAAAAATTAAGTTTTTAAAAACTTTTTGGCATGGAATGTAAGATGAAAAAAAAAAACAGATTACTTGTTACATGGGACATGTAAAAAGGGCAATTTGTCTTTGTTCACTATACAAAGGCAATCCTTGTTATACTTGTACAAAATGTTAACATGACAATGACAGACTTATCTTTCTATATTAAATACCTACAGACATAGAAAATGAAGAGGTATTATGCAAAATGTTTAATTTATTATTGTTACATAATGAAAGTAACCAAAAAGAGATAATTGCTGCCAATGATTTGTCATTTTAATCATAACACAGCTGTCATTTGCCAAAACTTATTACTGTCATAAAGCTACAGGGATTTTTAATATACTTGAACCAAACTAGCACAAAATTCATCTTGTGCCAATTACCATACTGACATCAATCAAAATTCAAACAAAACTTTCTCATTGGCAAATATCTTTTTTTTAATTGTCAATCAGTAAAGTCAATTTTTTTTTTTTTTTGCAAATATCAAGTGGCACCTTTAACATTATAGCTTGCATCAAGCTCCATATTGTTGAGATACTCTCTTCAAACCATTTTTCTCCTTTTATCACTGTGGCACTGCCTTTCCCATAAACACACCAGTGGGATTGACGCTGTAAGTAACTACATCACTAGTTGTGTGAACTCCTATTTTGCTCCCATCAAACACTTCTGTGATGAGGTAAGACTTTGACCCTGATATTCCCATGTCACTTAACTTGTAGTTCAGCTTCGCCGGTGTGCCATATACACCATAGTTTACAATGGTGAAGGCGTAGCTTCCAGTTGGCATAACAGGGCGCGTCCACACTTGAATGTCATTGTTCTGAAAGGGAGAATTAACACGCCACCTTTTTAATTTTTCATCAAAAGAAGAGCTCATCTGGATATTTAAGTACAGATAACTTCAAACAATAACATTTAACATAAAAGGTCAATTGTTTGCAAACATTTAAAGAGCAAAACTTTTTTCTCTTTGAAAACCTCTTTAGAAACTGAAAGTAAATGAATATATTTATATGCAAGTAAAGTGGCAGACATCTAGCATAACACTACAAACCCCTAAAAATAACAATGCCCCAAATGTACTCACCTTAATAACTCTCTTCCCCATTTTTCCCATGGGATCTTGGTTGATAGCTATTACATTCTTATTCTGCAGTATTGCCTTAGACTCGGGTGCTATGTGCCTTAGATCGTTCCCCATGAGCAGTGGGGAAGCCATGATGGCCCACATTGCCATCTGAACCCTCTGCTGGTCATAGCTCAGACCATAATTGCCAATGATTAACTAAAAGTGAAAATATATGCTTCTGTACGCATATAATACAATTATAGACTTTGTCTGAGGTTGAAAACGTTGTTTTGCTGACCTTAAACGAGTAATATCAATGAAGGTGCAGCCGAAGAAAACAATACAAAGCTTAATGTTAATGTCACCACTGATGACACCAGTGTTAAAACTGTCCATGTTTTATTGCAAGTCACCCTTTATTAGGAACACAGTGGTGTTAACTCGCTATACAATCTACACTCATGACATCAGAAATGTCACCCATGTTTGGTTTAAAATCAATGGATACAAAATGAATAAGTGAATGGACAGGTGAACTGACTAGTAAAGAAACAAAAACAAAATAAATAAATAAATAAATAAAACAAAAAATTTACCAAAAGAAAATCTAACAAAATTCAAGTCAAACATGAACAAACCATATCTGGGTCATTCCATGCCCCTGGCCCAGCAAACATACTGAAGTTCCCTTTATCATCTCCGTAGAAATCGATAATTCCCTTCAAGCTGTCCCAGGAGTCTTGAATGTCATCGTAATTCCTCCACAAGTTGCATGATTGGGCGATGGCTTGATAGTCTGGCTGTATATGAGAGGAAAATGTGATAATTACTACACAATTTTAGAAGACAATATTTTAGTGAGAAGATAAAAAAACTGTTGATCAACTTGCCAGATAAGTACAAGGCAGATGTTGTACATTATTATGAAAAACATCTCAAACACTTTATAACTTAAACATCTCAAATACCATACAACTTAAAAAATATATTAATTTACTCTCTAGTTATGGTGCAGCTCACTGCAATTTTTCTCGAAAAAATAGTATAACTTAATATTTCACATTAAAAGTTTATAGATTCCCTATGTTTTAATCTTAATTCTTTGTCAAAGGGAATATTTTTAATTATAACATCCTGTTATCATTTCTGTTGACAACAGAGTTGAAATGTAACTCCAAAACAGTTTTTGAACTTATCAAATGCACACAATTTTTAATTTTCTGTTGATGTACTTGTATAAGTATAGATTTTTAAAATCTCATCACTGTAAGATTAACAATTTTATATATATTCATGTGTGATTTCATTTGTTCCTTTCATTTCAAACTAATAAACTAGGCATAATTCTTCAGTATTAAAATAAAACTAAAATTGCTTATAAATATAACAAGTAAACATTTTAAACAAATTAAATGAAAAAAAAGGGCTTAAATCCTACCCACACTTGGCAGAGTCCTTACCTGCAGCTTACCTCTTTAGTCTGATAAGCTGGCCATTCACATGAATAAACTATTGGTCTTCCAGTTTGGTTTAAGTAATACCCCATGGCTGGATAGCCTGTTAAAAAGTGAACATTCTGGACTCTCTCTACTCTCAAATTTAACCCTCTTCTGGATATGACATGACTGACCTTAAACTGGCCAGAGACCCAAATATTGGTATGATCATAGAATTATATGGTCTGCCAATGTACATACAAGTATATCACCAATTCTCATCCTTTTCTGCCCATCTCCCTTGCCACCCCCCTCCCCCCAGTTCAGTTGCCCCTTTTCACCAAAATCCCAAGCTGTGCATATTAAGCAATATACAAACCAGTTTTGGTCCTCCTGCTAGATAAGCAGGCCAACTACAAGAGTACATTATGGGTCTGTTAGTTCTATTGAGAGCTCTGCCCATCTCTGGATATCCTACAAGAAGGAGAGAGAAAAATATGCTCTTAGCTTTTAAACAAAAGAAACAAATTAAAGCAAATTTAATCTGCCTGAGCTCACAAAATACACTAAATTTCTTCTCTATTTGTCAAATGTTTTTGCATTTACTATAAAAGTTCCAATTTTTGCAATTTTTAAAGAAATCAAGCTTAATTTTCTATGCTACTGTGAGCCCAGTTTTCTGCTAGCAGCACTTACAAAAAAAAAAAAAAAAAAAAAAAAAAAAAGAGATGGGCATGAAAACAGGCAAGAATTATTTTAGTAAGTGCACCCTCTATCCCAAGAACCATAGGCCGTAGTCCCATAAACACCATCAGTATATGACCAAATTCTGCAGCGTCTCTCGCTGACTGCAATCAGCTTAACTGAATGACATGCATACTCCTGGTGTCAAGTACAGGTAGAATACAGAAAAGCTGGTGATCTGACAAGTGCATTGGAAACAAGAGGAGGTGTGTCAGTTAAAGATGCATACAAAGTCAATTTTTTGTCACAAAAACCAACCAAATGTCAGCATATAGTTTCAAGTAGTATAACTAAGAGAATTGTCAAAAGGCATTGTTTAATTTTACCCGAAAATGATGTTTGAACGTATATTTCTGCTGGCATTCTAAGCTGTATGTCAATGGGGCAGGAAAGTAGGTCACGAAAGTAGGTTAAATTTACAACCATAAATTTGAAGAAAGGAGCAGTCAAAAGGTCTTTTATGGCTGGTCGAGTGATCTATTCAGTTTATCCCTTGGCAAGTCAAATTTATTTGAGTCATATAAGAATCTAGTATAAGTGGTTTACATGTGTTACTGGAAATCCACGCTCCACCGATGCTCGGTTAGTATGTACCTTTAATTAAGCTGATTGCACTTGCAGAGATCCCTGCAGAGTAGGAACTATCCACAGACTGATGGTGTATTTGAGAATGGGCTCATACACATGTATAATAAGAGAATGACTCATTCCAAATGTCCATGACCACACATCATGATCAGCTTGCTCTTCTCTCAGCCACTATGCCAGAGTATAAATTGCCAAATAACAATAGAAGTATGCAGTCTGTGGTGAAAGAAAAGAGAGTGACAAAGAATTCACAATTTTCATGAGATCTACAACTGGTCTAAGCCATTAGTGAGCAGCAAGCACCCTATCCAACCGTGATTAGTTAGACTGGGTTAATCCCACAGATTTAGATCAATCCATCTGGATCGTGCTAAAAAATTAATTACCCCCGTACAGCTTTTAGTAGGCAGGACAGCCATTTAAGCCAGTTAGCTGACAGCAATCTAGTGAGACTCCCCAGAGGGATAGATCGATCTAAATGTCTGTGGAAATGGTCTCTTAGTCAGAGGATTACCTGGTTGTGAATGTTCTCAAAGTTATACAACAGTTGAACAGTTGACCTGCAGGGAAAAATAGACTGGGGGCGGGGGCGGGGGGGGGGGGGGGGGGGGGAAAGGGGGGGGGGGTCGGGTCTCAAAACAAGCATAACCTGTGAAATGGCCAATATTGTGACATGCTCTAAAACTGGTCGCATAAGATATTGAGACAAACCAGTAAGGACGTGAATTAGACAGGACATATCAATACACAAAATTAATTCTACACTCAGAAACAAACAAACAAAAACTGTGGGCTCATGCCAGCATGTAAACCTCATAATGTTTTACATATATGTATACGTATATANGGGGGGGCGGGGGGGGGGGGACAGGAAAGTGGTGGAAGGGGAACAGAATTCAGATTAACAGAAATGTTTTCCCTGTTATTTAACATTTTAGTTGTGATTGAAAACCTGCTATACAGAGTGCTCATGTTCCCTTATTGTGCTTTACTGGGAAAAGTGATGCACGATATATTATAGCAGAACAAGTTTTTTTACCATTAAAACATAAAGCTGTCTAAATATGCGAAGGAGTTCAATGGCAAATTGAAAAGTCCATCATATTTTGTCCAGAAGTGTTGTCTTTGATCATTTGTGTATTAAATACATCTCAAAATAGTTATGACCATTCAAACTAAATTTATCAAATGAAGACATGAAAAACTGTTTTAACATCAATGGCAAATATCACATTATTTCTTAAAATAAAATTTTCCATAAAATAAATTTCTGGACAAAATTTATTTCAGCTTGACACCTGATAATTTAATCCACTGTGTCATCTATATTATGAGCAAAATCAATGACAAATAATGGAAAAACTATATGATATTTTACATTTTCTATAGGCAAATAGAATTTATTTACTAATAGACTTTAAAATGCCAGAGTGAGCCTAGAATATTATCCAATAACATTTCTGTTAAAACATACCATAAGGCATAAGTTCGGTGGGAACATTACACCCATCAAGTTTCAGCATGTCCACCCCCCAGTCGGCAAATGTCTGGGCATCTGTGTCCATCTGGAACAGTATCCCGGGATATCCCGCACAAGTTTTGGTCCCAAAGTCTTCATAGATACCTAGCTTCAGTCCAAGATTGTGTATCTGTAAAATATATCAAAAATAACATTAATGCCCATGTATTACAATCTGAAGAAACCATGACCCTCTTGTCATATATATATATATATATATATATATATATATATATATATATATATATATATATATATACTCCTAGGCTGTATTCCCAGAGCTTTTAGATCGATCTATCCCCGCGGGGAGTCTCACTAGATTACTGTCAGATAATCCGGCTTAAATGTCCGTCCCGCCTACTACAAGCTGTAAGGGGGTAAGTCCCGCCTACTACAAGCTGTAAGGGGGTAATTAACTTTCGTGTCCGCTCGGCTGACAGCTATTTAGCGTGAACCGCCAGGGAGTTAGGTCGATCTAATCTCTGGAAATGGGGTCCTACTTATCATCTCATTATTGGCTTTTTAATAAACAATAGCTTTCTTATTTGAAGGCAAATTTCTATTACATTTATATGTTACCAGATCCTGTACTGGAAGGACATATGGAAAAAATTAAAGAATTTGGACTTCTTCAGATAAAGAATAAATTTTGGTGCTCAGAATTAGCTGGCTGATACCTTTGGTGTAACATAAATATTGAATATAATAGAAATCTCACCCATGGTTGAGTATCTTTCAACTTGTGTAATACTCAAATTGTTTTTGTAAACAACTTAATCCATGAACATTTTAGGTCAATTCATAATGTGGATGTTGCTTAATTTGATATTCTTGATAATTTAAAAACAAAATCAAGCATCTTGGCTAAAAATAAAATCTTTGGTCCAATTCACACCATACTTACATAAGAAGATAGATTCTTAATTCCACTGGGAAACCTCGTAGGGTCTGCTTCCAGTTGATTTTTAGCATTCCTGCTGTGAGTAAGCCAGCAGTCATCTATGTTGACATACTCATAACCTACATCCTTGTAACCCTCTTTCACTAGCAGGTCACCCATCGTTCTGAATAGCTTTTCACTAAAAAGGCAAAAAGGGATATTTGATTCAGCAAATGCTCAAATGATACTCTGCATGTGCAAAGAGCTTTCTTCAGTGACATTCTATTGTATGAATTGAATAAGTAGCATGATTGGGTAAAAGTTTACATAATTCCAACAAAGCATAAGATCACAGAAACAGATAATTCGAGATATGATTCTGCAAATGCCCAAATGGTACTCTGCATGTGCGAAGTGCTTTCTCCAAATGAAGCTGCAGACACAGCACATGAAACAGTCTACAAGAAACTCGGTCATCTTAATCGAAACTCTACACCACATAAGATAAGGGCCAATTCCTCATGAATCTATTCTTCTGCATAGCCGGATGCAACTCTGCAAGGACTCTAGCTGAATGATATGAGATAAACAGAACTCCTGGTTTTGAGTAAAAACAGAGAAACTGTTGAGTATATGTGTACGTTAGAAAAAGATGTTTCTTTTTTCAGGGTACTTGACATACATATAAATATAATTGTTTTTTTTTCTTTTCTTTAAAGCAGGAGTAAATCCCATCAACCCGATTATTGAATATTGTTGCCATGGTAACTGAAATGAGGATGCCATAGTGTCAGTAGACCATGACATAGCTTAACATTTCTAGACGTCACAGAATTCAATTTTCTGCATTTAAAGGTAAATAAGTTTTCAGGACACAAAGGTGCATGACACTACATGTACTTATATAAGGTATTAATTGTTTTATTTCAATATTCAGTAATATATCATGTAAGCAAACAACATGGGCAAAGGGCATGATACAGTATCATATAACAAACAATACAGAACAAAGTATGACCTGAAACTGACCAAATTTATAACTGATATCCATATTTGCAGAGGTAAATATCCAGATAGATAATACAGTACGGCAATAATGATGACAATAAATCATACAAAAAAACTCAGTGTTGAAAACTCAATGATGAAAAAGAATAAATAAATAAATAAATATATATATGTATATACAAACAGATTTAAAAAAAATCCAACAAACAAACAAAAACTAAATAAAAGAAAAAATTCATTTTCAAGAAAAAAGTTCTTAAAGCACTTAGCCTGGTTTTAAAAAAATCCTTAAAACAGAGAATTTAGCCAATATAATTATAAATCAAAAGATGTATTTTAAATTATTTGTATATCCAAATGTGATCCCAGCACAACACATTTATTCTGCCTCTACAGTTGCAACATTTGAAATATTGGAAGACAAGAAAACTATCATGTACTATTTTTTAAATGATAATATATGTATTTGGGGGGGGGGGGGCGTGAGGGAGGTTAGTGGGAGATATATCTATAAAATTCCATAATAAAGCTGTCAAATATCATCTAAACAGATCTATAATCGCAAGTTTACAACTACTTAGCAATGTTCCTCATGCCTCGTGGTACGAGGCCATAAAACTACACCCCTTCTATTAAAATATCATGTGATTGAAATTTGTTTATGGCACTGTAGTACTGGTATGTTGCAAAAGAATATTCCACCTATTCCTTTTTTAATTAAAAAAAAATAACTAATATCTTATTATACTTTACTTCTTTCAATGAGTGTGTGTGTGTGTGTGTGAGAGAGAGAGAGAGAGAGAGAGAGAGAGCACTTACCTAATACAATTATCTGGATCATCTTTACAATCAATATCACACCTGAACCTCTCCCAAGCTAGCCACCCCATGGGAGGTGTCCTTGCCAGCCCGTTGTTCAAGAGATCAACCTGGCTGGGAAGAAGGCATGATATCCACAGGAAAGTTGCAGCGTACAGATGCATCGCCCAAATGTGACCTGGAATGATCGTAAACATAAAAAATAAACTACATGTATATATTTGTTACCAGTGATTTGATAGAACTTTTTACTCTCGTCAGCTCAGCTTACACTTGAACACTTGCAGAAGGGGTTTAAAAAGTAAAGTCTTTTTTCATCAAATGCCACAGGAATACTTACGAGATGGAAGGTGAGCAAGTTTTGTATGACTTCCTACACTGCCCACTGCACCGGTTTTACGCCAGTGTTTGTTGATGCCGCATCATGTGACTTTGGCCTCCGGGATAGCTCAGTGCAGATAGCTTTCCGTTTTGGCGTTTTAAATATTTTAAAAATCTTTTTGATTAGTAATATATCACAACATGTATTTTGTGTGCTCAAACCCATGTTTTCATTGGAAACTCGCATTCTTCAAATCTGCTTCAATCCTGACATTTAACGAATCTTGTCAATGCTTCATATTTGCTGCGGAGCGGTAGCGGAAATTTCAAAATGGTGGATGTCAACAAATGAATTGATTCTGCCGATTGCTGGATATTTTTGTCGCTTTCCTCTATGTGGAGCCGTTCAAGGTTCTCTCCTCGTGGTAAATAGACAAGTTGGTGTAATGGAGTATATTGTGACTGATGTATTTGTATTGATATTCAAGACGATTGGTCTTTTTTAGCCTTTTTTAGAAAATATTTTTGCCCCAATCCGATTTTTTATCTCAAATTTTAAATAGGTCTGCATTTGTTAAACTTTGATCTTTAATTTCCAAAAACATTCAAGGCCTTTAAATGGCGATATGCGATAATATACCAAAATAATTTTGATTAACATATAACCTGAAATGGGACCAGGGGACGTCCAAGAAAACTGAAATATACTGTTGAAACTGAACACTTGAAATTGAATATCGTCCAAACCACTAGTACAATATGAGCACCAGTACATCCGTGCTATCAGCTGACGAGCTAAAACACAAGTTGTACAGCAGTCTCCGAGGAAAGGGGGTACTGGACTCCTTAAAGGTGAGTATTTGTTGGTCAACATTATTTTTAAATTATAAGTTTTAAGCCCTTATATATTTTATACAGCTGCATTGGAATACAGTGACTAATTATAACATACATTTTGTCCTTTGGGGTATATTAAATGGGGATTCTGCCAATTTCTAGCCATATTGTGACTCTACAAAAGGCATGAGAAAATATTGCTACGTGTGAACCTTAGCATACTTGTTCATGCAAACTCTTATTCTTATCAGAAAAGGTTAAAAATAGACTAAGATACACCCCTTAATTATTCTGCTCTCATCAATGCTACAATTATAGAATAAGTCTAGCACATCAAAACAACTTATTTTTCATTCAATTGGATGTAAAGAGTAGTGATGCATTTACAGATTATTCATGGACTTCTCACATAATGACCTTGATAAATGATAAAATTTGAATAGCACATCACATCTGAAGATGCTGTCAAGCTTACAATTTTGTAGTTGCTGCTCTCCTCAATACCTTACAGTGCTAAATTAAGTGCCATCAGGTTATTTCCTTTTTTTAACTCCAGTATGATTTTAATTGTAGTCTCAGTTGCGGAACAAACTTGTACATGAGCTCCAACACTCAGTGTTAGGATCTTCACTTAAGACAAAGCCTCCCCAGCAGCAGGATGACAGTTCCTTATCCCTCACAGCTGCTAACAGCCTGGTAGCAGATCATCTAAGGAGATGTCACTATAATTACTCACTGGGGGTGTTCATTCCAGAGAGTGGGGCCTCTCAAGATAAGGTGAGGCACACAGTAATGAGTCACAGATGAGATCTGTTAAAAACATTTAATTCATTTGCTGACATTCACAATGTATGCTTAGCCTACTGCTTTGCAGCATTTAAGAGGCAGGAGCAGTGTTTTATCATTTCTTTTTCAAGATTTGTTATATTTAATTATTAGCACTGACAAAAAATGACTTCTGACTTATACCCAACTTGATTTTGATAACTTTTCAATCAGGTATTACTAATTTTGCAGCATTTTTGGTTTATTTTATATATAAACTAAAGCTATGATATTGTACAACTAAAATAAGATCCATGATCAGCTCCCAATCAGTGAGTAATAAGTGTCTATTAATTCACAGGTATTCACATCCCAAGACCTGCTGCAGCTGCTCCATATAAGCCCACATTCAAAATTGTATAAAACACTGGTGAGTTAGCCTGATGTACTTTCAGTTCACATTTAACACAAGTGAGGGTTTTGAATGTTTAAATGAAAAAATTCTGACTGAGAGTTCTGATAAGGGGACACCATTCCATACCTTGAAAGTATTTGGCAACCAAGGGCATTATTTGATAAATACATGAGAAACCATGCAATATGTTTTACTTAATTCAATAACTGTATAAGGAATGGGTACAGTGTTTACTATTATCCAGTAAGCTGTTATACAATATGTGTGTGTTAAATTCTTTTCTCTTTGCTGCTTTAGACAGAAAGTATGCCAGAATCTTCTTCCAAGGGATTTTTGTGGCAGTTATTGACAGCGCTTGCTGGTATTCATGCAGGTCTTTCGCAGGACACCAGCACACAGACTTCCAGAGATGGACATGGGGCAATGTCAATTTTAAGTAAGAGATTAAATTTTTAAAACACTAGAAATTATTCGTAAATGAAAATTATCAAACACAAGCCAAGATACTTTCATACCGTTAGTTTTTGGCCAACCTGGACATAGGCCTTCATCAGAATGATGTGAGTAGATGTTGACTCTCACTGACCCCTAGGTGGTATGGTAGTTATCATTTTTTTTTATCATGATGTCTTGAACTGCCACAGCAGCATCTATTAGTGATTTAGTAAATGTATTCATAGGTATTGAATAGTTTTATGCTGAAAAATTCTTAATGTTCCAGTAGACAGAAAGTTGCTGTTGGAATTAACCAAATCAACAATAATTGATTTTTTACAGTGTAAATTTGTAAAATGTTAATTTGACCTCTTATAGGGTAAAATAAGTGTTCTAAAATAAAAAAATTGTCTTTCATTTTTATTATTTTGAATCACAGAAAAGAAGGCACAAAATTTAATGCTTTTTTTCCAGGCAACAGACTGTCTAAAGTAGATGAAGAATTTGACACTTTGTTGCATGAAAACTCCAAAAGCCACGCCTTGGGGACTGAAGAGCGCATCCTTTCAATACAGCGCCATCTAGAGGAGAGGTTCAAGGAGGAGACCAAGCTGGAGCTGGAAAGGTTCAAAGAGACACAGTTCACTAAATTCAAACTCCAGGAAAAGGAGAAGGCTAGGAAAGAGATAGAGAAAGCTAGAAAGGAGGTATAGTATGATAGAAACCATAGAAGCATACAAAAGCCATTTGTATTGTACAAGTGCTTATTTTGTGTTATGAAAAGAGGAAATTCAAATATCAAGGCGAAGTTTAAAACAACATAAATCTTATTTTGGTAATTTTTAATGAATAAAAATGTAAAGCATGTTATGTATCACAAACTAAGAAGGAAATTATAGGAAGTGAATTTTTCTTTAGGCCAGCTAGATAAGCTTGAACCTTTTCAGCTAGAACTTATTTATGTGCAAAGCAAACACATTTGGATTTACATATTCATGTAATAATATAGACATATAGCGGAATCAACAAAACTATTTATGATGTATTTGCTTATTTGCTTTTTATACACTACATGTTGATTAGATGCATGTTTATGTGTTTAGATGGAACTGACCTACAGGGCCAAGTGTGATGCCTTGGCAGAGAGGGAGAGGGCGGCCACAGAGAGGTTACAGAGGAGACAAGAAGTAAGTTATACTGTATAAAAGAAGAAGTGGACTTTCTATGGTCATCTTGCTCATCAACTACTGACTTTTGATGTGATGGCAAAAATGACTGCAAATTGAATACATTTTTGTAGTGTGTGATTGTGTGTATTTGCTTGTGCTTCTATGTGTGCTATTGGCTGCTACAAACAACATGGATGTTATATGATATTCAGTAAGAATTCTTTTTTTTTTTTTTGTCATGATAGCAACAAGAGAAAGAACTGTATCAGCAGAGGCAGAGTTTACTGGAGGAGATTGACAAAGTCAGAGAAAGGGAGGTGGAAGTGAGAAAAGACTTGGAGATAATGAAAAGGTGAGAGACACATTGTTGTGCATTGTTTTTTGTCGATGAAACCAGAGTTGACCAATAAAGCCTTTTAGACAGAGACCAAAACTGTCTTTTATAAGGCACAATCTCTGCTTTATGTTGAAGCATAATTGTTATATATAGTTTAATATCTATAACATATAAAAGATATTAAACAAGAGTTAAGATAGAATGATGTATTTTTTGCAAGGTTTACATAGCAGCATACCACATCAGTTGTATGTCACATAAAAGGTTCAGCATAATTTAGTTATTTCAGGGACTTTCAACTAACTGTTAGTTAGAGAAATAATTTATTTACAGTTTACTCTTTATATTTCAGGGAAAGTCACCTACATGAGGATAAGATGAAATCTTGGGAGGATATGTTGAAGAAAAGAGAGGATTCTGTTCATAGACTTGAAGAAGAATTTGACCAAAGGTTACAAATAGATGTCGCTAGGTAAGTTTGTAAGACAGTTCTTAATTTTATGTTCATGTATATATTATTCATTTTTTCAAGTATGCCTTTTATATTTTAAAATTTTGACATTTTTTGTATTCCTCAAGTTATTTGATGAAAAAAAGCTTGTTTTGAACTAACCGGAGCCTGTTTTGAAATTGTACTAGACTTTATTGCCTTTGAACTTTTTAATGTATGTAAATTGTTTATATTTTTGATATGCCATTGTGTGTGTAGATAATTGAATTTTTACTGCCTGCAAGGTTTAAGATAGAAGAACAGGGAAGACTTTTGGAGAGAACCAAGAACCTGGAGGTCCAAGAAGCAAGGTTATCAGGTAAATGTATTGAATTGAATATTTTATAGAAAATATAGTATATAAGCATGATTTTTTTTCTTCACCTCAAGTTTGTCAGGGAAAATTTAATTAGATTAGATGACAGAAATAACGGAACATACTTTGAAAGTGGGTGTGCAAATAAAAAAATAAATAAATAAAATCATCATATAACTATGTGTCTATTGGTAAGTCTGTTGCCTTTTAAGAAACTGAAACATTTTTATGGTGTCTTATCATATGTCAGTGTCAGGTGTAGTATGAATTACCAACCTCTTGATAATGTACACCGTATGCTGTATGTGATCACCATCATGACAAACTGAAAATGAGGAATTTGTTTCAGAT